TGACATGAATTAGTTTGGGTTTGGCCTGCTTTGAGCAGGGGGGTGGACTAAATGAACCCCCTATGGTCTCTTCCAACCTTAATTTTCTATGATTCTATATCCCACAGAGTAGGGGGGGTCACATGAATCTCTGAAGCCAATGACTACATAAAGGGGCCAAAAAGCTTTTGTGACCTTAACTCATACTTCGATGTAATTGGAAAAGGATTTCCCCGCTCCTAGAACAAAAACTGTCAATCGAAGTGACACATGCTTTGGGAAACATTCATTTAAAGCAACAGGAAAGGGATCAACTGATAGAGTAGAAAGTCAGCTAATAATTGCAGAAATTATTTTCTCACAGAAAGCGATGAAGTTAAAATGAGTATCATCCAAAAATGTTTTTGTTTAAAATAATTAATAGTTTATCTTGGTGACATTCTATTTTAACTAACTGGTAAGTTCTTGGGAAGACAAAGCTTATTAAATACAAACACTTAGCCAAGGCTTGAGAGATGCCTCTTGTGAATGCAAAGGTTAGCACCTTGCACATTTTTAATACAGTGAACATAATTTTTCATTCACATGAGAAATACAAAGGCTTAATAGTTCAGTTGTGGAAACTTTGTAGATGGGAAGTTACTATTGGTGCATATTTAACTTTTAAGCAAGTCTATTGCTTAGGTTTTTTAACAATGTCCAGTATTTATAATTTATAACTAATAAGAATCATAATATGGCATCACTTATACATGGGGGTGTCTATAGTTGTAGTTTCACTTAATAAAAAAAATGCGGTAGTATTTATTTCAATGCATAAAGCTATAGACATATAACTTCAGATAAATCCACTCACTGGGACTGATTCTGATTCCACCTATACTGTTGTAAATCAGGAAAAACTCCAGTCAGAGTGAAACTACTATAAAATGGGTGAATTCAGAATCAGGCTCATCTTGTTTATGATGTCCAATCCACACATCATGTGTGTTTTTTAAATGTACCACAATGTCACTATTAAAATAAACCCAACCTATGCTTTTTTTAATTTCAGTGTCATGTCATATGTTTAACTTGCAAAGAGCACTTCAAGAGCTTCATTAGTGTAAATAATAAATATGTAGTTGTAACAGGCACAACACACTGCCATGGGCACCTCCTGCTTGTCACTCAGGAATTAGCTCATTTCAGCACTGAAGCACCCCTTCAACCTCTGTCACGCCTTCTGTTACCTGTTCATGGCTCCACCACTCTGCGTTAGGACCCAGGTCCCTCCCTGGGAGCATCCTCCCCTCTGGGTACTGCCCTTATGCAGTGCCCCCACACTCTGGGAACCTCTCCTTTAGGGAACCTCCAACCCCCTATGTCCACTGCCAGTCATTATCTAGCCTCTGCCTCAGGGGCAAACTGCATTTTGAAATGGCCACTCAACGTTGGCAAGGAACCTGCTGCCTTCTGCTGCCCTGGCTGCCTACCTGCAGCCCTAGTACCCTCAAGACCTTGCTTCAAGCCCTGCAGCCTGAGAGCTTGCCTGGCCAAAGCATCCCTAGCTCTGCTCTGTATCAGGAAGTCTCTAGCTTCCCTGTCAGGCAGGTCCCTCCTGCTCCACCCCCCCAGGAGCCCTTATTTATATAGCCCCAGCTGGCCCCTAATTGGCTGTTTCCGCCTCAGCCTCTGACTCCACTGCTCCAGCCCTCTCCCAGGGCTGAGTTTTAACCCTTAAAGATGCCCCATCACAGTAATTAAACACTCAAACACATACAAGATGTGAATCATGGCTTAAGTAGTTCACAGTGGCTGCGTCTAGACTGGCAAGTTTTTCTGCAAAAGCAACCACTTTTGCGGAAAAACTTGCCAGCTGTCTACACTGGCTGCTTTGAATTTGCGCAAGAACACTGACGATCTAATGTAAGATTGTATTTGCAGAAGAACACTGACAATGACTCCCGTTCGGGGGGAAAAGCCCTCTTGCGAAAATGCTTTTGCGTAAGAAGGCCAGTGTAGACAACTGAGAACCGTTTTGCGCAAAAAAGCCCTGATGGCGAAAATGGCGATTGGGGCTTTCTTGCACAAAACTGCGTCTAGATTGGCACGGACACTTTTCCGCAAAAAGTGCTTTTGCGCAAAAGTGTCTGTGCCAATCTAGACACTTTTTTCCACAAATGCTTTTCACGGAAAAACTTTTCCATGAAAAGCATTTACGGAAAATCATGCCAGTCTAGACGTAGCCAGCTAGTGTCTTGTAGTGGACAAAGCTAAAACCTACACATGATATATGCCGCTTGGCCTGAATTACTATATCTTATTTTAAATAGCAGACCAGAACTATTTCCATATGCAGATTGCCAGCTGGTCTCAACTGTATTAACCTGAGAGTAGAATTGTGTGAACTATTCCCCCCAAAAACTTTTAGCTTTTTTTCCCCCTGTTCCCATGTTGTCTGAATAGAACAGGTTTTTAAAAAAAAAAGCTTTTGTGAACTGCCCACAAGCTCTTTGTTTTGAGTATACTTTGAGTATTGGAAGTTTTGTAATTAGAAGGCTGAGCTGGTCTCACTGGGTATGTAAAGGTAACTGTGACAGGGTTTTATCTGACCCTCCTTTGGACCCCCAACCCTTGCCTCATTTCCCCTCTTTAGCAAATGCTCTTGCTGTCCTCTGGTGAGTCTCCAGCTCCTGGCATTTCTGTCTTCTGTTCTTTGATGCACCGACTCACATACTTCCTGGAGCTCAACTAGGTAAATATTAATTTGTTTTGAAGTGTGAATAAGTTTTGCACTATTTGCTTGGGTTCTGTTGTTAATCTTAGAAATTGAAAAATGCTGTTTTCAATAATGTAATGAATAATGGCATTTCACCCTGGTCAATACCTAACTAGAAATTGTCATCAGCAAAGTCTTGCAGGCTGCTTCAAGGTCAGAATGTTCCCCTGAATCCTTTATATGTTCAATAGCTATTGCCACGTGTACCTACAATATTTAAAGCTGTTATGACTTTTCCAGGACCCTCACACTGTTTCTCTCCTCGCTCATTTAATAGCTCATGTTTTTCAGAAATTCCCCTTCATCAAACTAGCAGCTGGGTTTTCAAAAGGGCTGCCACTTTCAAAAGCCAGACTGCTAGTTGTTCCCATTTGGAAGAAAGAACATGATCTGCTGGCTTTCAGCCTAATGCCAATAGGATTTGAGATTCATTTTTGATTCACTCATTCATGCTCAATGAGGTTGAGCCTTTATTTGTTAAAAATAGAATAATTAAAAACCTTTTCCCTACTACTTTGTTGTGCCTTTATATGAGTATAATAATGTGCTTGAAGCTGATGTGACTATTCAATAACAAGTGGTGAATCACGCTGTTTTGATTAATTTCATTCTCAGGACTCTTGGCATTTAACCAGCATGTGCTGTTTTCATAGCCTATATTTGAATTCATATTCATTTTCTTTACTGAAATGACAAAACAGGCATATAAATTTATCATTCCTCTAGTGCATATGGGAAGATGGAAATAACGAAACCAAATATGAAACGTCTCAATAATCCTACTTTATGACCTGGAACACTAAGTAGTTCAACCACTAAATATATTCTCTTGGTTCTCTTGGATAGACTCTTTATATGGCCTGCCCATATGTATCCTCTCATTCCGTTTTCTCCTCTTTTAAATGGGAGTAATAAAAGTAGAAGCTTGGGAGGGAGTGGCAAGTAGCATGTTCCACCCCAGAGACTTGGCAACAAAGGCAAATGCTGGAGTTTCCGTGCAGCAGAAGGCAAACCAATAATGAGCTGTCTTTGAATAAGCAAAGCACAAACTGCCTCCTCGCTCTCCTTTGTGCTAAATTTGCCCATCATCCAGAGTTCATCCGGAAAAGGGTTAATCTTTCTCCATCCAGCTAGAGGAAGGATCACATTTGCCTGCCCTGAGCACAAGGATGTCAAAGGAACGGGGGGGTAGGCCAACTGCCTGGAATTAATTCATTTCTTGATAACGAACAGTTTAGAGGGGCACATTATGTAGATTTGGAAACTGAATCTGGAAATGAGAGTCAGGACAGAAGAATCTCAAGGAAAAAGGATAAAGCTAAGATGACAACCATTTGAGCTTTCCTCTGTATCTCTGGTATTTGGCAGAAGCAAGCCAACATCAACTTCCACTTTGTCTGAGGGAAGTCCTGTGCACGCATGATTAAAACAGGCAGCAGAAGACTGAGTAAAAGGCAAGAAAATATAGGTCTAGGCTTCAGTACAGTTGTGCAGGGCCATGAATATTTAGTTGATTATGTTAGTCCCTTCTTATGTGAGATGGCATGTACATTGCAGACAAGTTGGGGATTTTTCATGTCTGGACTGTCTTATGTATAAATAACAATTCGCCTGTTTCCAATTTACTTGATGCCCGATGTACAGAAAATAGAGCTCCAAACTACTCGACTGTTAATATTGTGGAAAAAATAGATTTATCCATGCAGGGTGATCACAGCTAAACTAGAGGTGATTGGTTGAGCTGATACTTAAAGGGACAATCTGTCTAGCATTTACACAATGTTATTGCTCTGTACCATATTACTTACAAAATATGTGGATGAAAAGAGCTAGAGAAAACCAAGACTTGCTCTAGTGTTTATTTACCTTCCTCATCAAGTTCAGACATCTTGTCTTCACAGCTAAGCCTGTGAATAACTTTTCCTTCTTTACATTTTTTTCTCACCTTTCTGCTAACTTATCTAGGTACTTATGTCCTTCATTCCTATAGTATCTTAGGTTTTTTTCTTCCTTCTTTCTTTTAAATTTCTGTCTACCTGATTTGTGAGCACATACACAGGCTTTAGAAACAAATCTGTTTATCAATAAAACTTGAGGCTAAATTTGAGAACACCTTTTGAAAATGTGGCCACTTCTGCCTAATAATTCTTCTCACATTATGAATCTCAATTATTTGAAAATATGAATCAATCCATATTGATGTTCAGATTGTTAAACTTAATGTATAAAGTTCCCTGATGGTACTTCTTTTGCATTATAGGATGTCTCAGGATTTAATGGTTCAATTTTGGGCCATAGGACTAAGAAGCAAAGGTCTCCCGTTCTATCTTGGATGGGCTGTGAATGACAAACAACCTATAAAGCAATAGAGGTACTTCTGAATCTTAATATAAATATGAGATTATAAAAAAAAGAATCGGCAATAAAAATGATTAAAATTAAACGTTTCTCTTAGTCTTGGTTTAACATCAATATGGAACAATCCTTTGATAGCTATAATGGAGTGAACTAGAGCAGTTAATTTAATAGCATTATGCACACTCTTGCGCAGAATTGCAAGATTATGTAAATTAAGATAGGTCTGTGATAAGATACATTTAAAGGCTATCCACTCATTCCCAGATGAAAACTGAATTAAAACTTAAAGGTTGAGAGTACTTTAGGGTACATAGATGGCAGAAATATTGCAATTATTCCAAAAACCAAGTACATATTTAATGCCAGGAAATTCAAAGTTAAAGTTAAAGCTTAAAAGAAATCCAAATATGTTAATGTATGGAAATGCACATTCAAAGAACTCAGCTCTATAGTGACAAAATGCAATGGTCCTATGGTTATAATTAAAACATGTTAGTGTTTGCAGTCCCAGATAAAATTAGATTAATTTTTAATTATACATTTACTTTTTCCCCCTGGTGTCATCAGGCCAGAATTACCGTATTTTCCAGCATATAAGGCGACTGGGAGTATAAGACGACCCCCTAATTTTCTAGTTAAAACATAGGTTTTCGTCTTATACACGCCGTATAAGATTACCCCCCCCCTTAAGAGGCCAACCGGCAGTGCCCCTCCGCCTCCCTGGCTTTGCTCCCAGTGTCCCTGGTCTGCTGGAGACGGTCCCCAGCAGACCAGGGGCACCGGGAGCAAAGCGGCAGCAGCAGCGGGGTCCCGCACCTCTGAGGCTTTGCCAGAGCAAAGCCTCAGAAGTGCGGCACCCCGCCGCCGCTGAGGCTTTGCTCCCGGTGTCTCTGGTCTCCTGGAGACCGTCTCCAGCAGACCAGGGGCACCGGGCGGGTTCCCGCGCTTCTGAGGCTTTGCCTTGCAGACCAAGGAGATGCGGAGCAGCTTTTCTCACCCTGGAGGACGCGGGCGGTCCTGCTGCCCGCATCCTCCAGGGCGAGAAAAGCCCTGTTCGTAAGTGCGGATCCGACATAAGACGGATCCACGTGACCCCCGATTTTGGGGGGATGTTTTTTAGCATAAAAAGTCACCTTATACGCCGGAAAATACGGTAATGTAATTTTGTTGCTCTAAATTTTGTTTGGATTTTTTTTAAGTTTAACCTGGACTTTGAATTTCCTGTTTGAGGAGTCTCTGGCTATTCAGTTATAGAATGAATTTTTGTAGAATTTATTAATGTTACAGCTGATCTTGCCCCCATGGACAATCACCACTGCTTTATTAAGGCCCACACCTTGGATCCCATATCCTTCTAAATGTATTGAGTCTAGACAACATCCCAACAGTGGGATAGAGAAAGCTATAGAAAAATAAACACCTCCATGCACAATCCTGACAGTGCAAAATCCTGTTTCCTCACCAATCTTGAGCATCCTTAGGGTCTTAGTGTCTTCCAAGGAGTTCAGGATTCTTTTATAACCCTATAAGCTCTTGCTTTCTGGGTCTGATCTGCTTTATTGCCACTTGCTGAAAAACTGTTCACTTCCTATCTTATTCCCAGGAATTTTCCATTCTCTAATCTTCTATGGGCTGTAGCTTCCAATTCAGTGAATAAGTGTCTTTTAGCAAATGCAGCTGGTCCAATAAAATATATAAATCACATCGCCCACCAATTTCTCTGCTCCATACAGAGACAAACACCCAGGCTATGTCTACACTACAAGTTTTCTTGGCAAAAATATGCTAATTAGGAACTCATTTGCATGAATTATCTCATTTGCATATTTTCTGCCAATCTGTTTTTGTGCTAGGGAGTTTTGTGTAAAAACAAGTAGTGTGGATATTTTCTTTTTGAGCAAAAACCGCTTTCTGCAAGATCCTTATGCCCCAAAAAAGGAGGTATACTGATGTTCAGGAAATGGGGTTTTGCACAAAAAGAAAATGTCCGCACTGCTTGTTTTTGTGCAAAAACCCCTAGCACAAAAATAAATTGGAAGAAAATATGCAAATGAGATTTGACTCATGCAAATGAGTCCCTCATTAGCATATTTTTTGCAGAAAAAAACTCACAGTGTAGACATAGCCCCAGATGTCAGATTCCCTCTCTTTAACACAAAAGGGATGGTGCAAGGGTTCAGTGAAGGACCTAAATAAGGGTATAAACTTACAGAGTTCATAAAATCTAAGTGAAATTCATGTAGACGTAGTCCCAAAGAGTCATAAGAAATAAATCCATTCATTAGTTTAGGAATTGACATTTTTGTTTAATTTTAATTGCTAATCTAATGAATGGATTTATTTGCAAATTTTGTACAAATTTATATTATAGTCAGAGAGGCAAGTGCTGTAACTCTGAAGAGAATAAATCGCACACGATACAAAACTCCACTAAGCCTTAACTGTGGAACTGCAATTGATATCTCAATAATACACTGTTATGAGCTGAGTGAAACTGCTATGATAGTGAGTTAAAACCTCATTGAGATCAATAGGTATGAACGTACCTTTTAATTAACACAAATTTAAGGATAAATAAGCCTAGGTCAAAGGAATATGTGAACCCACTCTGGAGTTTCTGGAGAGTATTTTTGTAGTAGGTATAAGTATATATGACGGAAGGCAGAATATAGAGGTAGAGAGAGCAGCTACAAGCAGTGTGTCTGACTGTGCAGGACACCTAGAAAGAGGATTTGGGACCAGGAGTGCAGGCAGAAAAGAGTGTTGGTGCTGTGAGCAAAAGAAATTGTTTCCTAATGTTTGATTCCTTGTCTTTTCAAACACAGAGAACTTTGTACAATTCTTGTAAATAAATAAGATGACAGCAAAGAAACACGTTATTAAGGATATTAAAATGTGATTAGCCAGATAATCAAATTGTATCGACTATATTGTTAGTCAATAAACGCTGCTCTGCAGGGCCACAGCAGGGGTCTCTTCAGGAGCCGGAACTGTGCCTCTGCCTCCTCTACCCCCTGCAGAGACAGTGCTAGGCTTTACTGGTGGTCCCCCCGCCCTTAGTGCCATTTCCTGCTTCTCCTGGTCCCCCATCCCTCCTCCCCCCGCCCCTTTGCTGCCTCTCTGATAGGAGAGCAAAAGCAACTAGTTGAGTTTCTATTTGGTAAACATTTGCTTATTGGATAGCCAACTAGTCACTTACATCCCTAGTGGTTATCTCTAATTTCTCCTCCTAAATGAAATATCCCTGGGTCCCCTAACTTTAACTAACTACCCCTTTTTTATCTGAACTATAACAAATATATGTGTGCAGTGAAATATGATCATTTTTTATGTTCCAGACCTAATATGTTAACCAATATTTAATGTGATTGTCAAAAAAAGCCATCTCAGTGCTTTTTATATGAAGCTCCCAAATCTCAAACATCAAGTGTTCAATTTTAAAGTTTTATCTTTCTCTCTAAAGGTTGCCAAATGTAAAACTTTAGCCTCTTCTAGCCTTTTGTAGTATGCTTTCATATTGGCCTATACGTCACATCTTTAAAATTCCCCTGCAATTCATCTGGGCCTACAGCAGTGACATATTAACCTATGGGCCACGTGGCCCAAGACTTGAGAAAGAAAGGACTGGATTCGGGCTAGATGAAAACGTTTTCTTAAAACTAGTCTTGGCTGAAATTTGGGTTTTCAGCAAACTGAAAATGCTCAGAAAAAGTGTTTGATAGCTCAGCAGTCACTGAGGCTCTGGGTCCGGCAATTTAGTCCCTCCACCCAAACTCCAGTTGTCTAACTGCTCAAATCTTTTAGGTGGTTGAGGCTTTAGACTCACAGAAACTGCTCGTTTGGATCTGATGTGTTGCTTGTGCGCTGATTTCTACCCCAGTACTGTGTACTGGTGAAAGGAGGTTGTTACCTCTTGTCCTGAGGTGGAGCAGATTGGAGTACAGTATTCTGAATCTGAACCCAGAGCAATGGACAAAGTTAACGAGCAGTGAATTTCTTTTCAATAAAACATTAATAGAGTACTAGGACTGGAAGGGACCTTGAGAGGTCATCAAGTCCAGTCCCCTGCCCTCATGGCTGGACCAAATACAGTCTAGACCATGGGTTTCCAAACTGGACGACATAAAATAATTCTGGGGGGAGGGGCAGCTAGGTGACCCAGCCTCCCCTCCCCCCCCCCATCAAGTTTTGCTCAGTTCCCTTTTTTTTTTTTTTTTTTGCTTAACAAGTTTTGCTGCTACTTTTTGGGTTGGCCTGTGTCTGGCTTAAGCTTAACCTTGTCTGCCCTTCCCCAACGCAGCACAGAAAATAAAAGCAAAAAACCTGCAAAGCTTGCAACTCAAAAGAAAAACCTGTGTCCTTTTAAAAATCCTGGGTTCTCAAAATAATCTCACCACTATCCACCATGTCATGGCTCCTTCCCCACTCTGGCACGATAAATGCAGAAGTGGGGGCCTGCAAAAGTACCTCAAAACCTTATCTTCCATGCTTTGGGAAAAAACTGGCCTCCCCCACCCTCCCAAATCTTAACAAGCTAGATTGTGGGGATCAAAACTCCGCTGCCACCTCCCAAGTATTGATCGGTAGAGTATATCTGAGAGGACAATATTGCTCTGAGGGTGTGTCCAGACTCCATGCCTCCGTCGGCGGAGGCATGTAGATTAGCCAGCTCGGAAGAGGGAAATGAAGCCGCGATTAAAATAATCGCGGCTTCATTTAAATTTAAATGGCTGCCCCGATCTGCC